CGGCCCTGCTGCCATCACTGTCCCTGCGGGCCAGCCCCAGTGTCCTCGCTGGCAGGGAAGGGTGTTTCGGTGCAATAAATACCCCTGCACTATGGGAAGCCCCATTCGGTTCCTTTTTACCTGCCCACTGCATGTACAGACCGGATCACCAACAATGTGGTTGTGCTTTGGAGAAACATTTCACTCTTTTCGTTCCAGACTGCCCCCTCCCCGCCTGCCCCAGCCTCAAGCCCCGTGTCCTTTAGGTTACAACCGCCTCTGTTCCAAGTGCCACCCGCCCTCCCAGCGCCGGGAGCGTGTCTTGATGCAGTATTCCACGAGCAGTGTGGGGCACGCACAGCTTGCACTCGAACTGGGGATTTTTTTTTTTTTGTAATTAATGTACTTGAAGGCTTTCCAAGCCCCCCGTGGAGTTGTACCGTTGCTGTACTGTGAGCTAAGTGTCCTTGTTTTCTATGTGGATCTTGACCCCGGCTTGCTCTGTCTCACTGGGCTGGATGACACTGTATGTTGCCTCTTCTCTCCTTCACCCTTTCTCTCCTTGCTAGCCTCCCCCTTCTTCTCCCAAAGCTTTGGGTGCAAACAGCTTCCCATTTTGTGGAATTTTTATGTAGAATAAACATTTGTAACTGTAACGCTCTGGCTCCTACATCTGTTTTAGCCAAAGGGAGGAGGGTGTGGGGACCAGAGAGGGGACATGGAGAACCGCAGCACCCCGGGGCAGCTGCAGTGCACCCGAAGGGAGGTGCAAGCTGGCCGTGAAGCAGGTGCTGCTTTGCCACCCTCCCCATTCCTGCACCAAGGCCAGGACACAGGAGAACAGCAACAACCGCACGACATTGATGTTTATCAAGGAGGCTGGCTACAGTGTCCTGCGTCACCTGGAGCTCCAGGCAGCTTCCTGACAGCTCAAGAAGGTCAGCGAGAGCCTGGCGCACAGCGGCCAAAGCACAGTCCGGCTTCCTTGGGAGAAAAGGCCTAGAAGCTCTGCAGCTGAAGGGCAGGTAACACCTCCAGGCCTCCTCCTGCAAGAGCTGCAAGGACCTGTCCGGGGGTGCTAACCAGCATCATCCATGGGAGGCTCCCACGGGCGCCCACGCGCCCCCTTGCACTCCAGCAGCATCCGTATCCATTCAGAAGTGAGGGCGGCGCTTCCGACCCGTGTATTTTGTGTCTCCTCGCACCTCCCTGTGAAGAAAAGTGTGGAGCAGCTGAGTGTGGAACAGCTCATCTGAGAGGGGGAGCTCATCTGAGAGCAGAGGAGATTGAGCGGGTGCTGGTGGGCCCGAGCAGCACTGCCAGCCGCAGCTTCAGCAGAGACAGGACCCGGCTCAACTTACTTGCCCTGCCGTCGTCTGCGCTCCTTCTTCTCGAGGATCCAGTCCCGGCTTTTCTTTACAGATTTGCCCTTGACATTTCTGAACCGTGTCCTACAGACAGAACAAACAGGAGCTGAACAAGAACTGAGGTGGGGAAAAACCACACTCTTTAACGGACTGGAGGATGCCCACCCAGAACTAACTATTCCTGTGGAGCAGAGGATGTGGTAACAGCCCACAACCCACTCCTCCAAGGGATGGGAAGCAGCAGCTGGAGCAGGTGTCCAAACAGCCCAGCTCCAGATACACGGGCAGGACAACAGCAGGGCAGGTCCAAGCAGCCCCAGCTCTGAGCAAGGGGCACCTTTCTCCACAGGTTGCAGTGTGCTGGACTCGAGGATCTCTGGGTCCACACTCTTGGGTCTGGGTCCACAGCTGCCTTTCCCCTGTCTGCTCAGGTCTGAACAAGCAGGCGAAGCCTTTAGCTTCTGAACAAGTTGCCAGTTTTGCAGCTTGTCTTCCCATGCAAGACTCCCCCGGGACTGATGAGCAGAGCAGTGTAAGAGGCAGGAAAACACGGCAGCCACCAGCTCCTGGCAGCCACGACGACTTTCCTCTCGCTTTTGTTCTGTCTCGCCCACCGGCTGCAAGGGGAACGCTTCCCTGCACCACTGCCGTGGGAGGAGACTTGGCCATGAAGCGCTGCCCGTCCGCGCTGCCAGGGATCCTCCCAGGCCCTCGAGTCCTCCCCTCCGGCTGTCCCGCAGCGGCAGCGAACACAGTGTTCCTCACGCCACCAAACCCTGTGCAACCCCGGGCGTAGGGCTCTGCCCCACACGATACCTTTCGTTTGTGAACTTTGCCTGCTGCAGCTCTTCATCAGCACACTCGGTACCAAGGGCCTGGAAGGCAAAAACAAGTTTCATTTGCAGCAGACAGAGCTAATAGTCATTGACATGTAAATGGAGGGGAACCCAGGGCTCTGCAAGGCGAAGAACTGTGGCAGAAGCAAACTGTTTTCCAGCCACAAGGAAACCAGAGCTCAGGGAAGAGGCTGGTGAGATCAACAGCAAACACTTGAATAAAGTCATGTTTGCAGTGCCTAGGTCCCACTCCGTGACCTCCCTTCACACACAGCTCCTCCCAGCAGTCAGGAAGGATCCTCAGGGGAGAGGAGATGCTTCTCCACGATAAAACAGAGCTCCTCACCTTTGGTAGTGTGCTGGATGCCCCAACGAAGAGACAGAGGAAGAACCTGGAGGAGTAGGAGCAAGAACAGCAGTGTGAAGACAGGATTTAGCATGTGATTCCAAGTCCCCACACAAAAACCCTAGATCATTTGTAACAGCAAGATCTAAGCTGCCACCTCTGCCCAGGACAGGATTGCAGAACACAGAAAGAGAGCTCAGAAAAAAAGAATCATTGCTAGACTCAGCCCCCACCCTCTAAACTAGAACAGGACTCACTTCTTGGCTTTGGCACTGTTAGGGTAATCTACCACCATTCCCCCGGTGAAGCCAGCCCTCATTGCCTGGGCTGTGATGAGTTCCAGCTAGAAAAGGAAGCACAGGCAGAAGTTACTGAGCCGTCACCCACCAGCACTGCACAAAAACCCCCCTGGGCTCAGTCCCCAGCTAAGAGCACGCTGCAGAGGTGGCTTGCACTGCCCCTCTAACCACCCCTACAGCAAACTGCCCGCTCTGCAGCCCAGCACCCGCTCTGCAGCATCTCTTTCGTCTCTCCCTACTCCTCGGTCTAGCTGGGTCTAACAAACAGGTAAATCTCTAGGAGGGCAACACGGGGCTGGATTAGGCAGGGCTGGGGTGTCATGGCACAGCACACATCCCTAGCGCCCAGCTTTCAATCCCAGTTATGCAAGGGGAAGCTCCATCTCACAATTCCAGATTATGTCCTGCCCAATCATTTTATTTTAAGGCTCCCTGCAAGACAGTCCATGAGGCAATGGGAATTGGGTAGGACATTCTCCTTACAAGTATTTCTTGGCTACCACAGAATTTAACTGACAGAAAGGACTAAGACATACACCAAGCTTCTGGGAAGAAAAAAAAAAAAACATTCAAAACTTCAAACAGCCAACAGATCCTCTGCCAGGCTCTTCCTACCCCTCCTCCACCTGTACCTGTTCCGAGTTCTCAGGGTACAGCTGCAGGACAGCTCGGGATCCTCGGGCCTACAGGAAACACAAAGTCACAAACCTGTCTCAGTACAGGCTTTCCCAGGGCACCCAATTCCCAGCCCCATCACAATCACCCACCTCACCCAAAGCCCCCAGACCTGAAGTCCCAGGATACAGGGCCAGTTTCGGGACAGCACGGCAAGGCACAAGGCTAATGCTGCCAATGCAGGGACTAGGGAAGTGTGGGAGACCATGCAGGAAAGGAGACAGGGAGCAGATACTCCCGTCAGCCTTAGATTTCAGTAACTTGTACTTGAAAAGCGGCTTGCTAAAATGTGCTAGTGGGGATGTGAAAGTAGCTAGAAACAACAGAGCACTTACCAAGGCACTGTAGAGAGTCGAAAAGAACCGATAGAGGCGTTTTGGAGGACTGTGTGACTTCTTATCAGCATTGCAAAGCCACTGCACTGCAGAAATACTAAAGGAAACACAAGACCTCAGGGACACAGAGCCATCAATTCTTTAGCAAAGTGTGTCACCTCCCTGCAAACTTCCTTTCAGCACTGAGCATTTGCTGGACCATGGAGGAAGCTATTTCATATTTTCCATACAGCTTTGCCTTCTATTTGGCAGTAAAGGTGCTACATAAACCTCCCTGGAGACTCATCGAGTCGTGCCAAAACACTACTCAAGCCCCACAGAGACACCAATCATCCCTTCCAAGGCCAAGTGCTCAAGTAACTGAAGCGCTTGGCGGGGACCCACATTCAGGCAAACAGCTCAGGCAGGGTTTGCCAGCGAGCAATGCTGAGCAGAGCACTCAGTGAGGTAACCCAAGGCCTCTACTCCACCCCACTGTTAGAGAGGTGTTCCCTAAACAGCGAATACCCATTTTCCTCCATCTAGCCCCTCATCCCAAAGCAACCATCAAACATTTGGTCCGGTGATGTACCTCATAACCAAGCACAGTGGAGACAGATATACTTTGATTTTTTCCTCCTAGCATCCAGTCTCAAACCTCCTGGCAGGGGCTCTATTTATTTACTTCAGCGAGGTCTCCTAGCCTAGCACCACTACAAAACAAAGACAAGCTCCCCTTGTGGATTGGCTGCTGGAAGCTGCATCTGCAATCCCGGATCTCAGCAGCCTGTCCCAGGAAGCTGGACTCCAACGGAACGAGAGGGGCTGATGAGGACGCGCACGCTGGCACGGGCCACACACGATGTGTACACGGTGCGGGACTGCAGTCACACAGACTGTCACACAGAGGGGCTCTGCTGTGGGCACGAACTCACCTGATGCAGCCGTCAAACGTGCCTGGCCTGAAGGGAATGCCCTGGCCCATGTCCGCAAGCAGCAGGTCTCCCTCCACCTCTCTCTCCACAGCCACATCTGTGAGGACAAGGGCAGATGAGGGCACCAGCCCGTGGCTTCGCGCGTCACCCCGGCCGCACAGGGCTGCGGGGGAGGCTCTACGCACCCAGCATGGCAGAGCTGATGTCCA